ACAAGCAGACATAATACTTCTCTCAAAATGTTTATCGAAATCTAGGCTAGTTCATCTCTCAACGATCAATTTAAATATTTCTTAGTTGGTAGTATCCAATGAGGTACAGAAAGAGGTGAAGCAGATCGTGAAATATGGTTGTATTAGTAATTTAAAAAATCATCGTAAACGCAAGTAGTGACGTCACTCATTGCTTGTATCGTACAGGGGTTTTACTCACACAACTTAACCGATTGCTTCACCTCGGTAATCCAGCTCATTGGGTAGTATCATCAATTCCCTTTCATTTGACGTTTACATACTACAGCCATCTGTTGAGTGTATTGTCCTTCAAAGGGTAAACGACAGATGGCAGTAGTATATTAGCACAAACGAAGTGACAGACGACTAACTGGCGAAGAAATCAATTTAAATAATGTGGTTCGCTGTTATAGAATTTTCTTAGAAGCTTGTGCCATCAGCCACCAGATGGGCCAGAATTTTTGTTTTGATTTGAACATAGTTGATTTTGTGTGCAATATGATCTTTGACAGTGTGCAAAGAGTGTATCATTTTGTCATTTTTTTTTATGCATTTCAGTTTAGAGTAGAATGAAAGAGTTAGAACCAAAACATTCTAGTACATTTAGTGTTGCCATGTGGTACAATCCAGTAGTAGTGTTGCCATGTGGTACAATCCAGTAGTAGTGGTGTTGCCATGTGGTACACTGAAAAATTGCAATAGCAGGTGCGTCACCAAAGTTTTCGAGCCGCTCCGTCTGTCACTTCGTTTGTGATATTAGTGACGATGGTTTACAATGAGGAATGGCCAATGTGTTGTGTCTGTTTGTCTGTGATGTAGTATTGAGACCCAAGTAACCATATAGTCGCAATATAGCTCGTATATACTTATTTTGCTTGAGTATGGTTAGTTAGGGAATCCGATGAAAATATCACTTCTTGAAACTAATCTCTTTCGTATTAATTATTTTTTTCATTCTCTTTTCGCACTTTGCATATAACACCATCACGTACTAATTTCAACATAAATTCAATGATGTGGATATGAGACTAAACACACCAACCAGCGAAGAAGCAGTCAACGTCAAATCAGGAACGGAAATTATCCACCTCGGAAAACAAGAAAAACCCAAAAAAAAAAACCCCGGAAAAGGCGGAATCATGTCAGAATCGACGAAGGACGATCTACGGAAGGAAATTGCCGGTGAAGCACGGAATGGAGTACGAAGCCGTAGAGAAAAAGTACAAGATATTAAAAAAGAACCAATCAACGGCGGTAGGCATCCATTAGGGCATCATCATAGGTAAGTATACACACTTATATTTTTTGCCGAGATGGGCACCACCGAGCAGCTCGGGATTTTATTTTGCTGGATCTCAGGGAAAAACTTGCTTTTATTCAAAACTTCACCGAAAACATTGTAACGCGCCAGTGCAGTGTTACTCCCATCACTGATGAGACCCCCGTCTCCAATCTTCGGGGTCGGCACACGCTCGTGACAATCCCGCGAACCAAGAAAACACTTAAAGTTCACTCAAGACAAACTCCCACTTTATTCGCTTTTGTTAATTTCGCTTCATTCTCACTTCACGGACGGTCTAGATTCTGACGTCTCCCACTTCCTTAATTGACTACTCCTACCTTGTGCTAGCACTACTCTTCGTTTTTTTTCTTTGGGGCCCCTTCACCTGCCACTGCCGTCGTCGTCGTTCCTTTCCTTCCTCTGGTACCGCGTCACCTTTTTGGGCCAGGGGTGGACGGCTCAACCTGTCCCGTACGCCCCTCGAGTATGGCGACGGACTCAAGGCTTCAACTAACCACAAGGGTAAGTTGGCTTGCCTGGATTGATGGCGCACACTGTATCTGTGGGATCAGGTTCACGAACTGCGTTTCGGACACACTACGACGGTAAAACCGCGAGGTCCTGTGGGCGCGATGGAGAATTCGAAATGGCGGTTATCGATTGACTAATCTCAATAGAGAACGGTTGGATCTGGTTCGGGTTTTTTTTTGTGTGATGCTAATTACCTGGCTGTCCAATTGTACGTGGCGGTTCTATAACATTCCCCAGAATGTACCATTCCCAAGAAAAGCATTCCCCAGAGAAGTATAACATGTATTAGATTTACTATTTTTGTTTATTATAGGGTAAATGTTGGCTTCGGCACCCATTGACTGTTTTCGGCAACCAAAATTTAAACGTTAATTTCACTATGTTTTCCATCAACGCACTTCCCTGAATGTGTCCAAACGATTGTTTAGCCTTTCAGCTTCAATCTGATTATATTTGAACGATCGAGCAATCCAGTAATGCTACATTTTTCTTCAAATAAAGCATACGCACTACAAAATGGGGTTGATTTCGAGTTGCCGATAATAGAACAGCTGGTTAACACGCAGTTCTAATGGGAAGGTTGCCGAAGAAAAAGAGGCTGCCGACAATAGTCACACTCACCTGAGAAGTTTGGAGTCTTGCAAAAACGCTTTCAAAACGTTTTGATAAATTCTGTCGATTGGAATGGATAGAGAAGCAAGCAGCAGATCAATGTAAACAAACAGACACATCATATATGTGCGTGACGCTGAGAAAATGCTAGTAGAAGTGCAGACGCTGCTTAGATTGACGAGAATACGTAAATTCCCCTATTCAATCCTGGAATCTTCTTTCGTGTATATAAAAAGAAAGAAAAAAAAACTTCTTAATCGATCAAGGGGTTTTAGGAGACCTTAATGGATCAATGGGTTTTCCCTTCTTTGAAAATATAAGAAAAGGAAATAATTAATTATTTGGATAAACGATAAAGAAGGGAATATTCCTTTCTTTGAATATATAAAAGAGAAAATAATTAATTCTTTGGATGTATGATAAAGAAGGGAATATTCACTTCTTTTAATATAAAAGGAACATATATAATCAATAGCTTTTCGCAAGGGATTCGGGGTAATGACCATTTGGGATAATAACGAGTTGAATAATGTTATAAATTTGTAATCGGTAACCGATTTTTTAATCCATCACGAGAAATTCTTCAACTCAGGTCGAACAATTCTTCGATAAGGTTTAACAGTTTCCGACTGGTTGAATTGGATTGCATAATAGACCCTTTGACTTATTAAATGATGAACGAAGTGCTCGAAAACTTGAAGGTTGTCATTTTATAAAGAGCTAAACAATGGTTTGGAATTGAAAAATACATAGTTCAATAAAAGTAAACATAGTGTATTATCAATAGTAAAAAAAAAAGTGAAAATTACTAATTTCATCATCTTTTCTGGGGAATGGTACATTCTGGGGTATGTTTTTCTGGGGAATGGTGCATTCTGGGGAATGGAATTCTAGGGAATGGTTTTCTGGGGAATGTTATAGAATCGTACGTGGCAACTTTCTCTACAACTCCTTTAAACTTAGCTAACTTCACTTTAGCTTTAGTTTTCACATTCAAACTATTAATTTTTAGCTCTGATTTTCGCTATGTGACCGTAGTCTCTAATGATCACCAGGCTTATAACTGTGCCTCTTGGTGAACGATGACCCCGAACCGCGACCGTTGAACCGTCGTACGTGCCACGAATTATCCACGCAATGGCCCCCATTACGCCACCTCTATGGACGTCCATTGGCATTGTTCTACAATTTATATGGAAGTGTCTATTACTGGCTACGTTCGTGGGGATTCTGGGACGTTTTACCTTTTACGAACATTTAAACCTTTTCTTGGAATTTAATAACTAAATATACGAAAACTACACGTGATTAATCTCACCAATCTTACACTTGCTACAACAACGCCCAAAACTAAAAACAATACCACTAGACTTTTGTTCTGCTAAATTCCCATCCGAGGCCACTATGCAATGGATTTTCTTTCAGAGATACGAATCGTATGTTACAAAATGAATACATTTTTTATTCTATCTTCAGTCTTTTTCACTAGTGGTCACTGACCTTATGAAATGAAGCCAACATTTAGCATAATATATACAGCAAAGTAAACATGAATATCTATGTTTAGTTCATTTATAGCATTTAAATATAGCGTGGGACTTCCCTGAACCTAACTCAGGAAGGTATGCCAGTATTACTGTAACCTTTGCCTGTTGAACCGGCTGCCTTCGGTATGGTATGCCGCACCATCAATGACTACGCTATCGGGCGACCCCGAAAATTAATAATCTAAATTCCTTAATTTATTTCTATTGAATCATATTGCTTGAACGACTTTCGTACTGTTATTTCGGTTTTATGTGAAGAGCTGAATATATTTAATCACACAATTCCAATATAACTTAAATAAATTTAAATAAGCAATACTTCAATCGGTTGAATTATAAATATCATGTTGAAAATCATGGCAATGTTACTGATCGTGCAAAATGAATAGTACTGTCAAATTTTGAAAGTTAAGTGAAATTATAGATTCTATAACATTCCCCAGAACCTCATTCCCCAGAGTGCACCATTCCTCAGAAAAGCATTCCCCAGAATGAACCATTCCCCAGAAAAGTATGCCATGTATTAGATTGACTATTTTTATTTATTATAGTCACTCCTGGAATCTTCTTTAGCGTATATAAAAAGAAGAGAAAAACTTCTTAGGAGACCTTCTTTGAAAAGATAAGAAAAGGAAATAATTAATTCTTTGGATATACGATAAAGAAGGGAATATTCCCTTCTTTTAATATATGAAAGAAAACATAACTAATTCGTTAATTCCATTCTTTATCGTATACCCAAAGAATTAATGATTTCCTTTTCTTAAATTTTCAAAGAACAGAATATTCCAATCTTTATTATATACTTAACGAATTAATGATGTTCTCTTTTATATATTCAAAGAAGGGAATATTCCCTTCTTTATTGTAAAGCCAAAGAATTAATTATTTCCTTTTGTTATATTTTCGAAGAAGGGAATATTCCCTTCTTTATCATATATTTAAAGAATTAATCATGTACTCTTCTATATATTCAAAGAAGGGAATATTCCCTTCTTTATCGTATATCCAAAGAATGAATTATTTCCTTTTCTTATATTTTCAAAGAAGGGAAAACCCCTTGATCCATTAAGGTCTCCTAAAACCCCTTGACCCATTAAGAAGTTTTTCTCTTCTTTTTATATAAGCGAAAGAAGATTCCAGGAGTGACTATAATAAACAAAAATATTCAAAGTGTTTTTTATGTTACTTCATACGCGAAGTTAACGATTTTCAGAGTTGGTTGGAAATGCTAACATGAAGCTTTAGTGTGATGATTTATTAGCTAGAGAATGATCTTTAGAAGAGGGTAGGTGGATAGTTCCGTTAGAGTACGGCAGTATGAAAATTGAATAGAAGTTGAAAATGAGCGAAGGGCCATTAAAGCGACAGTTTACAAGATAGACGCACATTTTTGCCTAGCCCGTACGATGTACGCGGGGACTTAAAGTATGTCTCCAAGTCCACAGGCAAAAAAGTGCGTCCCTCTTGTTGCTCATAAACTGACTGCGGCTGTGGAATAGTTCTAGCGACGTTTTCATCACTAGCATTTCCAACCAACTCTGAAAATCGTTAACTTCGCGTATGAAGTAACATAAAAAACACTTTGAATGTAACAACTCAAGGCGGGAGTAGCCGTCAACAATGCTGATGATGGTACAGCACGCAACAACCACCCTACTGCTTTCTCTCTGAGATGATCACGTTGGTCATGACGAGAGGAGCAACACAATAGTTGGGTAAAGAAGAACTGCATTATAACACACCATCGACTGGAAATGCTCTCCCAACGTGGGGCTTTAGGTAGTGATGAAAACGTCGCTAGAACTATTCCACAGCCGCAGTCAGTTTATGAGCAACAAGAGGGACGCACATTTTTGCCTGTGGACTTGGAGATATACTTCAAGTCCCCGCGTACATCGTAGGGGCTAGGCAAAAATGTGCGTCTATCTTGTAAACTGTCGCTTTAATGGCCCTTCGCTCATTTTCAACTTCTATTCAATTTTCATACTGCCGTACTCTAACGGAACTATCCACCTACCCTCTTCTAAAGATCATTCTCTAGCTAATAAATCATCACACTAAAGCTTCATGTTAGCATTTCCAACCAACTCTGAAACAAAAATAGTTAATCTAATACATGGCATACTTTTCTGGGGAATGGTTCATTCTGGGGAATGGTTTTCTGGGGAATGGTTCATTCTGGGGAATGCTTTTCTGGGGAATGAGATTATGGGGAATGGTTTTCGGGGGAATGTTATAGAATCGTTTTATCCTATTAAATTTGTTCGCTGGGTTGTCTTCCTGCCTCACTCAAGGTGGCAATTGAACGGATGTGTTTCAAACCATTTTGAAATCAAAACTATGCAGAACAACTTTTTCAAATACCGCAAATCGATTCAACTGCTGTGCAAAAAGTGATTAATCTTTAACATTCTGCATTTAGCAGGGCACCTCATGCGCAAGCTCACTGTTCTCATATACGCTAGGTAGGTACACATTAATAACTATTTGCAAAAAAGTCGAATTGACTTACGATTTTTGACAAAGTCGTTTGCCCAACCTAATTCGCAAGTACGGTAATATTGAACATTGAGTGAACATTGAGTGAACATTGAGTAAATTTTGACAGACATTAATATTATGACCCACAATTCCAAATCAGCGGTGCCGGTGGTGTAGTGGTAAGCTTGATTACCTCTCACCCCAGCAGGCCTGGGTTCAATCCCAATCGGCGCCACCTGGATGTTAAGGCATAACATCTCTGATCACGCCTTCCTTCGGAAGGGAAGTAAAGTCGTTGGTCCCCGGTTCATGAGTTGATGGGTCGATAGGTAGGGTCCAGGTGTGGGAGCTACCTCCCTGGCGTCGGTAGCATTGGTGCTCAGCACGGAAAACAAGATCGACCGAAAGCAAATCAAGGGAGAAAAAAAATTCGAAATCGCAACCAAATTCATTAAAATTTGACAGTTTTTGGAGACCACAATACAAATCGAAAAGGCAGTGGGTAATAGAGGGTTGTAATCGCCATACTAACTTGGCTCACCGTAATGGTCATGGATAGGACTATGACGGTGTTTGTAACATGGCACACGGGCTTTATCTACCAAGTGGCGTTTAGCATAATGTCATTTGTGGCATTAATGTGGAACAACATTACTTATACCGATAAATAGATATTTTAAAATCTGTGCTATACCTCAACGGGACATGTTCGGGCTCATGATTAAGAGAAGGTCAAATCATTATTTAATTTCCCTTCGTATGAACATGTGGCACAACAACAGTTCCAATAAGTTCCTAAACACCAGATTTCACCGCCCACCGTGTATCTGTTACAAATAGTGTTAGGCATTCAGTCCGTGCTCGACTACATTGACACTATATCTTGGGTATTGTATTAGCATACAAGTGGCTATTCCTGAACTGTGATTGGTGTTGGTGATCTAAGCTACCGCTAGCTATTAGATGCTCATCCAACTCAGCATCACCGGCACTTGGTCTGATGTTTGGAAAATTTCCATTAATCAACTCATATAGTTCATCGATGGACGTTTGGCTGCCGTGTGCCGAACTATCGTCGTCAATGTCACTAAAATTGTAATTGAGATCATCTTTTTCCGGTTGGGGTGCATAGTAGTCTTGACTGCGAAGACTTACTTCCGAGTTTTGATATTTGAAATCACTAAACATCGTTGGACTGCAGAAAAGCGTATGCCTGTGGGTATTACCATGCCTTACGTCGTCGAAAAGTTCTTTAGGTTCATTTATAGTTGATTTTGGCACTGCAATAGGTGTGTTATCCGGATTGTTAGGCAAATGCTGCTCAGAATGGGTGGATAGCAAGGATCCGGACAGCTCGCACATGCTTAGTGGGGGCAAAAGTGGACCACTATCGTGCGTTTGATTGGCAGTATCTATTGGTAGGTTTCTTGAGTTATTCATCTGACAAAATGAAGTAGAAGCACATCTTGGGTCTGCTTTCCTCAGGGGTTCTTCAAATGTAAATTCGGAAAGATAGGCCATGGATCTGGACTTCTTTCTCTGTGATTTTCTAATATCACTTAAGTTGCCTTCGTCCTGTTTGATCGCATTTGTTATTTCATTAAAATTGTGCTCTGTTGTAAAAGGTAAATTATTTTCATAAATTGGACATATTTTCGGTTCATTCAAATTGTTTATCAAAGTGTCATCAAGCTTATTTAAGTCCTCTTCTTTGTTCACCACTATATTAGTATAAATGTTATTATTGGGGCACCCATCAGTGTTATTCATCAATTTTATGAATCTAACGTTCAGTGTGCTATTTATGTCAACAACAGCATCACTTTCGTTACAACTATCAGAAAGTAAATTAGGATAGTAGGTCATTTTGCTAGCAACGACTTTTTTCTCCTTGTGTAACGTTAGCTCATTCATATTAGTTTCACGTGTCGTAGAAGGCTCGGTGAGTAGTGTTTGTACGAAATAGAATTGCGAAGAATCGTCAGATTGATCCGGTCTACCAGACGTTTCTGTTTTACCCAGATCAAAATTTTTATGACGCGCAAGTCTTTTCTGTTTACGGAAAAATTTTCGGGCTACATTACTTTGGTTAGCGTTAAAGAATACTTCAACGTGAGGTGCATGGTATATCGATGCGGTATTTGTATCTTTGTTGTAATATACCGCACTAGTGCTATGAATAATGGTTCCGGCAGGTTTGGCATCAGTTAGCTCACTGTAGACGCGGGTAGGACCTTTTGTTGAATGGTAAAACGTCCCGGTATTGCTAGTATGGGCTTGCAGTGTTGGTTGCCTTATGGTCAACCATATGAGCTTAAAGTCATTTCGGGCAAAACAATAGAAGTACAGTATGGATAAGGCTAAGCATGATGCCAATATACCGTATATCAAGCTAAATAGTTTCTCGTATTGTTGTCTGTTCTTAATGATCATATAAGATGTCGTTGCTGCTGCTAACCAAGTTAAAATAATTAAAATCAGTAAGGCTAGCTTTACTTTCAATTGTGATGAATATTCCAAATGTTGAGCTCTTGTGCTGCATGTTGAAAACGAGCAGCTATCTAGATATAAACTACCTTCAGCAGCTGCATGATTCAGCCTGCTTTGTTGTTGTTGACATTCACGAGTTATTTCCGAAAATGATCTATTGTTTGTGTAGACATATTTTGTTTTTATAGTGCACATTACCGCCAGAAACAATACGACTAAAAATGAGATTAAAATAATTGTTGGGAAAATAACCGAATTAAGAGCAGGAGTTTCCGTAATGAAACATATGTTATACGATGAGTAGTCATGTAGATTCACAGCCCCTATTGTTCCTATCAGTAAAGATATCCCGTAACCAACCAAATACAAGCCCAGTAACGGTTTACTTTTTGTTGTTCCCTCGTTTGTACTGGTGATGGATGATGCAACTGTGTCAATTTCTTGGGAAATACATCTACGTCGTGAAATTGTCTTATAAAAGTTACACAAAAGTGTAGTGTACCATAGCAATGTTGCCAAAGTAAAATAGTGTATCAGCAGTCCCACAATTTCACATATTTTAAAATCTTCCGTTTGGTGAATTCCGAAGGCATATAGAAAAGCCATCGCCGATAGACTCAGCCAAAGATTGATTAGACAATGCCGCTTTCGCACATTCATTCTAATGTGTGACGCAAACACTGTGTACAGTATTATGTTGAAAAAACATGCAACAAACAACGCAACACTGCCTATGTAAACACCTACCTCGCTATACCTAAAGCTGGCTCCAGCATCTTCATTGTCTAAGAAATCATTCAAAAATTTTACGTGTTGCATAATTGCATATACTCCAAACTTTTTGCAGGAAAATATGAGAGCTCTATTGAATAAATGATTTTGAAAGCAAAACTTTCTGCTCCACCCTCCAATACCATTGTTAAGCAGGGGATCCCAAATGACGGGAATTGGTTTGCTTATTTCGTCATGATAAAGAGCCGTTTTCAGCACGATGACAATGTCTGTACCTTCGGTTGTATTTTGCGAAAAATCTACACCTGCGTGCATGGGTTCCAGCAGTATCACCTTCGAAGTTATTCGATATTCTGCATCGTAGTTGGGGAAAAGAATACTACTTTCGAATATTGAAACCATTATACGAGTGGATGTAAATTGATTCACAAATGGTTTAGAGAATGACGTAAACAGTGATACTTCTATGTTTCTCTCATTGATTGGGTACTGCGGAAGCTTCGAGATGATACTACATTTCAACGGATTCATCCTAGAGTTGTGGCTAGTACCGGTGCATGAAAAGCCGTTTGTACTGCCCTGGAATGAAACGTCAAACAGTTCTACTTGCATGTTTTCTTTGTTCAAGGTTGTGACTGGTAGATTGAGAACTATATATTTGAAGGCTTCAAACAGTTTGCGACAAGATCTATCCTCTTTCTGGGCTTCAATATATTTTGCGGCGTTAGAAGTATGCTTCATAAGCTGAACAAAAATATCTACCAAAACAAAGCCTAGCTCTGGATCGTGGCTGGTCTCTTTAGAAAAATTCTCAATGGTGCGGGCTAGGTACACTAAATCCAGTGTATTCACATTCTTTGTTAGCAATGTGTAGGAATAATTTCTAAAATAGCGCGCACTTTCCAGGATGTTTCCCGAAAGATTTGTTTTGGAAAATTGTTCCAGCACCCGTGTGCTTTCTAGCACGTACGCACATCCCGTCGCGTTCAGATTGTCCCACGTTCCACTTTGGGTGCACGTGTAATAAACATAAGACACATTAATGATACCCGCATCATTAGCACAGGGTAGGTACACGGTTCTGCCTGTTATTGTCTTTGGCCAAGAATAGGAACCTTTACTATCGTGTGTATATGCTTCCGGGCAAAAGTGGGTTTCATTAGATATGACGATGACTGAAATTCTCTTGGAGAAACTCGCTGAGTGTGTAACCAGTCGACAGTCCCATGTGCCAGAATGATTTGCTTTCACTTGAGGTATTATCAGGGTCGAATCGAGTATACCACTATCGGACAGTGGTCTTGTGCTGATCGTAGACGATGGAAATAGTTTTAGCGGATCGTAAAATACGATATCCTGCAAGGTTTCCTCCGTCGTTATTTTTGTACTTGACCAACCCCAAAATATATGAGACCTTATATGTATGTCCTCCGAATCTCTAACACTTCCAACTGCTAGACGGGGTGCTCTACAGCGAAGCCTCAGAGGATCGCCTTGAAACAATACCTGATCGACACCGGGTATCAACTGCAGGATTGGTGTTTCTCCCGCAGAAGCGCAATGTAGGTCCACTCCTACCCGTAGTTTTTTTAGGAGCATATTTTTGAATGGTGTGCCACACTTTGGGGCTGGTTGTAGTTTAACTGATGCATTCACTGACCACGGGACCAACCAAAGAAGATCGCAATTGCATGCTAAAGGGTTCGAGGACAGGTCTCTGTGAAAAAAAAAAATCAAATACATAATGTTTCAAATGTATTACCACACGATTACTTACAGAATTTTAAGGTTCGGCATATTGTCAAATGAACCTTGCTCGATAGAAACTATTTGGTTTTGTGATAGGTTCAGCTTCTTGAGGCTTATAATGTTGTTTAGAACACCCGCATCAATTCGCCGGATCGTATTGAATGACAGGTCTACGGACCTCAATCGGGTCATGTTGTGAAATATTTTGCCATCCAGTGATGAAATTTTGTTTCTGCTCAAGTCTCTGTAATGAGAAAAAAAATAGGCGTCAGATTAGATGGAAATAAATAAATAAATTAAATTAGTAGTAAGGCTTACACGACAAACTACAGTGAGCTAGACTTTGAACACAGTTTAAGAAAAATGATAAGTAAAAGTATAAACACGCAAAACAAATGGCATGAATAGAGTGAATTTCTTGCATTCTCTGTATACGTTTCTGTTTCTTACAACAATTGCTATGGAAGTACTTATTTACAATAGACTGTAGCGTACAAGTTTAATTTTTTCTAGAATGAATCTTTTTCTATAAAACCATCACGAGATGATCTTATAGCCCATGTGTATTAGGAGAAACGAACTTTGATCAAACATTATGCTAACATAAAAATTGTTATTGTTATTGCTTATTGCTTGTTATTATACTTAAGCCAGGCATGAACCTACGGAAATTTAGTCGTGGCCTATGCTAGACCGTATAGCATAACGGCTTTCCTTTCACTAGCAGGCTTTTTGGTCCCACTAGCGTCCGATTAGGGGATAGTAAGAGATTAAAAGAATAAAGAAGAGAGATAGAGGATTTTGTTGTTATGCTTACAAAAAAATACGCCGGCTTGTTGTGCAACATCAGGTTTGTTCGCTTTCATTCCGTTCCGAGGGGCAACGTCCATCGTCGTCGTACTCAAATACCTTGGAACCTCCAGAGGTGCACAGGGCAAACGTGAAAGACTTCCATTCTGGGCAGCTGCTTGACCTGGGCCCAGGTCAAATTCCTATCGTCTTGCTTAATTTCCTTGTTGACGCTCCGCCGCCTTAGTATTTGCTTTGCTGCGATGTTCTGGCGGATTTAATTCATAATCAAACGCTTGCCTGCAGACTTCGTTTCTATTGCTATCGGCTTCTGATGACATTTACATCTGAGATCCATTTGTGAGGCCACCAGTCACAAGTTATATACCGCAGGCAGCGGTTGATGAGACCTGCAGCTTTTGAGTGTTCTCCACTGGTGCTGCACAGATTCCACGTTTTAATCGAAGTTTCGAATTTTGGTACGTTGACCTTGATCTCTGCTTTTGTGTAAATGTAATATTATCACCGACCTTATTACCATCACCTTAGTGTGTGACATCAGGTGTACGCTCCTCTGTGTTTTCGTTACCAATGCAGTTAATTTGACACGTTTGTCGCATTCCCGTATGTCTCAATATTATTCTTGCTGAACCACGTCAAACCCACTATCCAGAGGCAGCGAACCACCTTAACACCGCAATTGATTGTGATATAGTGGGCGGAATATTACAATGTGAGACAATTCAATGCAGACGTCTTCCAAATTTGGCCTATCGTCAGGTAATCAGTGGGTTACCACCTGGCACCTCTTAGCAAGCACTATGCTACGAAGCGGACCGGAAGTTTCAATGAACAACCTCCCCCAACATTATGCTAACATAAAAATTACAAAAATATTTTAAAAACCTTTCGACGTCAACATAATATAATCTAAATTCATTGATGAGCGTTTTAGCAGAATAATTTTAATTGTATTGTAGCAGATACGTCCCATTGGAAAATAATTAAGATTTCGCGGTGGAAGATGCGCGTGAGTAGGGTAGACGCGTTAATAATTTGATACCCCTTGAATTGGTAAGCGAAACCATCATCCGTACTTTTCCATTTAGTGTTGGCTAACTGAAATCTTGGAATGTGTATTATTGTAGAAGATTGGGTGAGAATACATGACGAATCGATTAGTTTTTGAATTAGTAAGTGTCTATTTGTTTTAATTTTCGGTGTTTTTGATGATTTTCTCTGTACACCTTTTGGGAGGCTGAACATACCTACCACTATCAGCTGGGCCTGACTTGCCATTAGTAGCTGGGCAAAACTAAAATGAGGTTTGGCAATTCGAGTTTATTTTTCTGAATTGAAGCTTAAACCATTTTTTATTACAAATAGGAAAATTTCGTGCATTGAATGAATTTATTTTTTTAAATGTTTGATTAACCCACCGGGGAAATCGTTACAGATGGACCGTCAATACTCGCTAACTATCTACCTCTCGTGGTATATAGACTTTGTTATTGTTGTTGTTATTGTGCCATGCTGGAGGGGGCATTGAGCCTGGTCGCCAGTGTAATGTTGATGACCAAGATGGCTCTTAGATAATGACTTATGCGAGTCGATTGAAATCAGCCGAATACTAAATGAGGGTTAAGTTGATGTTTAACATAGAACCGTAGATGCATGCTTAGGTGAAGGATTAGAGAAAGGAGAGGTGAAGGTGTTGAAATGCAGAATTAGATGTCATCGATATTGAATGCACATGTTTAAATATCGTTGATCCAGGTACCTATCGTATAAATTTGCATATCATTTTGTTATGATTATTATCAACAACACTTACATTTTGATGAAGATGGTGCTACCTATTATACCTCTTTTTTATTGTGATACCAACCATCACAGAAAACGACTTTGACAATACTCTCGTTCAGAGAAGGGGCTTCTTCATCTTCAGGTTCGCTTACCACCCGGAATGAACGCTTGGTGCATCATAGATTTGATATGATTAGTAATATCAAATAGTGTTACATGCAAACGAAAAAGAGATACAACCAGGATTAGTTTTTTTTTTTAAGTAATAGTTTTATCTGAATACCCAACTAACCATATCTCAGTGACATTGTCTCACTTTGAATCGACATTTAAAGTTATTTTGTGATTGTATGGTTACTTGGCTATTCACATAAAATGTTGTGCAAGTACCACAAGTTCAACAACGTCCAACTATGGACAGCTCAATGTTAATCCCATTTACTAAGAAACACCAAAGAATGTATACTATAGAGATAAAGCTTAAAATACAGTTTTGACTGATGGTACTTTATAAACATCAAACTGTCCAATATTGGACCCTGCCAACACATGGCGCCTGCACGGTAATGTGGGCTGTCAGAATGGTTCATCGGTTGCGAAGTGAAGTGCTTCTTAAACTGTAGCGATACATTTCTCAATTTTTCGACTTATTATCTTTATATTATCACCCATATGCCCGTCCACGCCCGAAACCCATCCACCACACAAAACCAAATAAAAATATTTCTGTATGGCAAACACGCCTAGACATAAACGAGAATATGGTTGTATATCTTCACTGTAACAACTACGGGTAATCATCGAAAGTACTTGCATTTTACTCAGGCACTTTTGAGCAAACTGCAATCACTCTCTCATACTTGAAATGTGCCACGATCAAATTAGCACAACGACGCCCTATACGCTATCTGACCAAACCACAGGGTCTCGTGGTATATAGACTTTTAACCCGAAATGCTACCTGTAGCTTTCGGAAAAAGAGATTTTGAAATATGATGGCACAGGTACAATTCTCAATCACAAAAAAAATATGAATATAAGGTGATCCAAGAGACGTTTCTCAGTGGAACTGACAGCTAGAAATCTAGAGTGTGTGAGTGATATGGTGTTTATGGTGCTGAATGTAAACATAAACAAAGCAGAAATTCATATGAGAATAAACTGCCAGTTCTACTGTGATCTGCCAAAAGTTCTTGGTAAACAAAGAAGTCAGCTGATCGGAAGTGTCTCGTGGACAGCCTTATTGAAAGTTTGTTGTCACTTAATGTTTACTAGAATTGGGTTTTCTTTTTCTTTAACTATTGTTATTCAGAGTTGGTTGGAAATACTAACATGAAGCTTTAGTGTGATAATTTATTAGCTAGAGAATGATCTTTAGAAGAGAGTAGGTGGATAGTTCCGTTAGAGTACGGCAGTATGAAAATTAAATAGAAGTTGAAAATGAGCGAAGGGCCATTAATGCTACAGTTTTTAAAGATAGACGCACATCTTTTGCCTAACCCGTACGATGTACGCGGAGACTTGAAGTATGTCTCCAAGTCTACAGGCAAAAAATGTGCGTCCCTCTTTTGCTCATAAACTGACTGCGGCTGTGGAATAGTTCTAGCGACGTTTTCATCACTACCAAAAGCCCCATGACCAACGTGATCATCTCAGAGAGAAAGCAGTGGGGTGGTTTTTTGCGTGCTGTACCATCATCAGCATTGTTGACGGCTACTCCCGCCTTGAGTTGTTACATTCAAAGTGTTTTTATGTTACTTCATATGCGAAGTTAGCGATTTTCAGAGTTGGTTGGAAATGCTAACATGAAACTTTAGTGTGATAATTTATTAGCTAGAGAATGATCTTTAGAAGAGATTGGGCCATAAGCCCATGTGCCTTTGCTGTGACGTACTGATGAAATTGATTCACATGCTTCACACGCTTGCCTGCAGTGATATTGTTGGTTGTATATTATTTTTATTTTTATATTGTTTTTCGGCTGCCAGTACGCTGCCAGCAACAATTTCCATTGGGGATCATTTTATACGTTTGGGTTTCCTGCACATACAACTTTTTCCTAGATACAAGCTTCGTCCAGTATACATTGGCTGTCTCCAACCGACATGATCCTTTTTGTCTGCTTCCTCTTGCCGGTGCAAGTTTAATTCTTCTTTTCTTGTTCAAACTTTCTCGGTACTTTCCTCCTATTTAACTTCTGGTCGTGTTCCCATTTGTCCTCAGGCAGTTAATATTAGTACATGCTAGGAAGAAAGAAATAGAACAAGTTAAGCCGCATGCATTGGTTACTTATTTGGGTCATGGTGTTGTGTTCCCTATTTATTTGCCTCTATTTCGCTCTCAGATCGCAACGTTTAACTTACCCCCTTCCCTCACACTATAATCATTGTTGATACAACCCAGTGAGTATTGACACATCACACTGTTGTGATGGAGCACGGACGTGAGATTTACTAGAGTATTAAATGCAAATGCAAAATAAAACTTGACAAAAAATCGTCAATCCCCTTATTCTTGGGCAGGGCCTGACGATGTGAATCTGATTTTGATCAGTGAACGGGCCCCATAAGGTATATTTTCTCACTATGAGCCTGTCATTTCTAGCCTATCTGAACTATTTAATAAATGGAAACCATAACATGGGTTACG